CATGTCATGAGGGATCCAGTACAGAAATAGGAGCCTTCCCAGAAGCTTGACTGCTCTATTATCTTTAAGGACAGCTACAAAATATCAGGTTTGTGGTTTGCTTTATTTTTAAAACTTAGGCTGGATATCTTCAGCTGCCCAGCAATCATGAATCATCCACATGGAGATGTGACCATCCAAGGCCTCCTGCATCAAGATACCCTCAGAGGGGAACTGACCCCAAATCTCACAGAACTCACTAGAATTCCTGGCCTCTGTCTTTAGCTCTGCAGAAGACCAGTGAAGGATTCTACCAGCTGGAAAAGCCCTGGAAAACACATGCTGCTTCCTCTCAGCTTGGGCTGAAAGGAACTCCCCAAGCCCATTCCCAAAGAGCAAAGGCGGCAGAGGTGCAAAAGCAAATCTCATCTGGGGTCAATTCATAAAACACCTTTAAATTATTTGTTTCTTTAAACCTTATCTGTGCAAAAAAATAAATAAAAGCATCCTGACAAACTAGTCCAGCAGCTGGTGCGTTAACAAAACAAGATCAATGCAACACTTTCTTATGGCCTCTTCTTTCAGTCTTGGGTCATTTATATTAAATCAGACCATGAGGAATCTGCACCAACAGCTAAGCAATGGCTCAGTGCTCCATGGCAAGAGGTGGGAAAAAAAAAAAAAAAAAAGTCCCATTGATTATTTGATAGGCACCAAATTTATGTGAATTCTCTGGAACTAAGGGACAAGGTAATTCATGCATCATTTTGGAAACTCAAGACTCCTCAAGCACAGGGAACAGAAAATAAGAAAGGTTACTGCAGGGGAAGGAATGGGAGTGAGGGATGCTGAGCCTCTTCTGTGTAACTAGCAACAGGACTAGAGGGAATGGCCTCAAGTTGTGCTGGGGAGATTCAGGTTGGACGTTGGGAAAAACTTCTCTGAAAGAGTGGTCAGGCTCTGGAATGGGCTGCCAATGGAAGGGAGGTGGTAGAATCACTATCCCTGGAGGTGTTCAAGAAACACTTAAATGTTGTACTGAGGGACATGATTTAGTGGGGAAATGGTGGTGGTAGGTAGACAGTTGGACTGGATGATCTTGGAGGCCCTTTCCAAACATGGTGATTCTATGAGCACTGCAGACCTAAACAATGGTAGGGCTGAATGCAACTCTGCTGTCATATCAATTAGAAACAAGACAGAAATGATCATGAGACAACGAGTCTCTAGTCAGCTGAACATCCCTTCACTGGAAACCATAATGAAAGTCCAGCAATACTTCCAGTGGTGGGAGGGGAGACAACAACACAACATAGCCAAGGAAGCTTTAGAAGGAAAAAGCATCAGGAGACACAGTACAGATATCTGGACCAATTTTTCTGAGCAACCTAAGAAATTGCTTATAAGGGAATAAGCAAATAGCCTACTGCTACCATCTTAGGGCAGAAACAAGTAGGCTGTGTCCTTTCTACACTAAAACACTACTTGGTTTTAAGTTTCCATTTTGAAGTCACAACTACAAACTTCTACTTCCCAAAGCAAGTGCCTTTCCAATTTCCATTTTACTACTAAAAAAAACCAAGAAAAATGAATTTAAAATCTTTCCCTCGGGTTTTGTTGATACCAATTTAAGTTTGGAAAAATAATTACGTGAACATTAGTCAGAAAGACTCTTTAAAGAAAAGAAAAAGTAGTGTTTAAAAATACAACATTGGGTTTGTAAACAAATGCCAAACAAGAGCTACTTCACCAGCCTCTAAGGATTACCAAGAAGTATAGATGCTCATCTGGTTTAATTACAGCTCCCAAACAGACCTTGGATCTACCACCACCTCATGCAGTGACTCATCCTCAAGATGTCAAGAACTAAGCACTGCCTCACAGAACCCCCTGAGCACAACATGGACCACCGTCTGCTTATTTAGGTATTTGGAGCCTCAGCTTTTTTGCGGCATCTGAACTTCTTGTTTCAAGTCCTTCCTGAGCCAAGACCCACGGCCCCATAAAGCCAATAGCTTCTGTTTGCAGAGCAGTGGTGTCTGTTTTCCTGCAGCCTGGTGAGAACGGACAGGACTAGAGATAATTAAATAAAAACACAGGAACTGCATTATTTATTTTGAAGGAAAACGCGTCTTCTAGGAAGAAAGTCCTTTATTTGGGCAAATCTGTAAGCTGTTTATCAGCTTAAACTCATTATCTGCCCATATGGTCTTAGCACTATGATTTAAAAAAATGGGCATGCACCAGTTGATGAAATGTCATCTGCCCTTATGCCAGAACCCAGTATTTTTGCATTGACGTCAAATTAGGATCCTTGCCACTAGTAAAGGACTACCATAAGGACAGTCATAATATTTTAATTATGAAGAGATCTCACAGAAGGCAGCAAGGAAGGCAAGAAAATCCATTCACAAAAATCACCAAGACAGTTGATTCACTTTTTTCCTCCTCTGCTTTAGTTATTTTGTTTGGGGAGGCAGGGTGGGAAGAGAGAACTAGTTTAAAGAAAAAAAAAAAAAAAAGCATGAGAATGAGAAGCTAGAGCCAATAAACACACATCAAAGAATGAAATGGCTCTGCTTCAACTGACTACAGTATTCAACCTGGGATAGATTAAGGGGAGATAAAAGGTGCTAGGAGTGAAAATGCTGCCCGTACAGCAGCACAGACCCCTCATGAGTTTGGCCCCAAAGCGTCAACCCCACCAGGTCCCTCACACTGCAAGTGGCAAACACACGAGGTAGACCAGTTCACAGGGACCCAAACTAAGCAAACTCAACGGGGTTCTGCTGCACACAGTGAGGTGGTCCAGAGCCCTTCCTGCTCCCCCACTGCAGAGCAGGAGCTGCATCCATCGATCCTGTGAATCACAGTGAGCCGCAGGAGGCAGGAGCAAAGGTTTAGCACAGGGCATTAAACCTGGCTGCCCGAGCTGTCACCTCGGTTATTCCACAAACAGTGAAACAAATTGGAGTCACAGTGACAGATGTTACTCATGTTTTATGAACTGCAGTGTTATTCCTGGTTACAGCAATTGTTTCTGCCTTTTAACAACAGACCTGCAATGCTGTGTGTATGAAATCGTTTGAATTAAACAGCATACAGACAACTTGGCAAAAGAATTAAAGATAGCTCAGCATTTTCATACGCACACAGCCATTCCTGTTTCCCTTCTGCCCAGCCCCACCCTGAGAAGTATAATGCACGTGAGAGCAGCCAAAAGTGAGATCACGCCAGGACAGAGCTGTGTGTTGCCATCAGCTGAGACGCAAACACCCACATCCCCACTCTTCTTTGTGGAAAAGAAAAAAACGAGACAAAACACCCCTGAGCCTCCTCTTGGTCCAGCATGGGGGGGGAGATAAAGTTGCTGGGCTCCATTCTGACATCTTAGGCAAGTCTGGAAATGACAGTCCAACACTCTTCCCAGCATGCCGCATCCTCACGCCCCGGAGAGAATAAAGGGATTTCCCCATGATTTACAAAGGAAATATAGCATTCCTGCCTTAGGAATGAAGGCAGCCCCCAAGCTGGCTGGCTTGCCCGTACCTGTGGGGTGAGCAGCTGTACAGAGTATGGGGATCCAACATGGCACACAGCCCTCCCATCAGCATCCCCAGGGCCAGGCTCCCACCTGGGGCTTGATCCTGCCCTGCCACTCAGATGCACACTGACATTTTGTGCCTCCCCTGTCTCCATTCACCTGCGTCTCTTCTGGGGTTAGACTCAGCTCCTCCAGTTAATTAATCTGCAGGAAACAGAAGTCTTCTCTCAATGTTGGGGCAGCCTGGGCTACCTTGGAGAAGTTAGGGCTCTTCCTTGCCCCTCCTCACCCCCCAACCCTTGCATTCATGGCAACAGCACTGCTTGGTGCTTCAGCCAGCGCCAACAAAAGCAGCGCCTCGGCCACAACAAACATGAAATATTAACTGCCTTCCCAGGAGGGTCGGCCGGCTGAACCCTCTGAACATACAACACAAGTATTGCAGAGACAGCAGGCGGCAAAGAAGCACATACATCACACTGTACAGCCTACACTTGACAAATTCTCCCCAAACTATGCAAAAGAAAGCGCGCACCTAGGTCTCCCAACAACATTCCTATCATTTGCTCTCAGCTCGTATACTTTTGAGACTAAACAACTGCTGCCCCTTATGAAAGCACTGAACACCACTTTACTGGCGGAGCCCATGAAGCACTTGAGCATATCCCATGAAACGGAGACAACTCTACAGTAAGAGCACACACTTTTTACTTGCTAGTAAAAAGCCAGGGCGAGCCGGTACTCAGAACAGAGTGCAGCCAGCTGGGCACACAGCCATGGCCAGCACGCTCCTGCCCAACCAGAGCTGGTAGCCACTGGCTATTCCAGGGAATGCGTGCCTACGATCTATTAATTGCATCCAAATTCTCTGTTATTAAAGAAATACAAGCAGCAAGCACGCAGATCTTACCAATTGCCAAGAAAAGCATGATGGATAAATGAATTACACTTACCAAAGAGCGCAATGCATAGAGAACGCTGCCTACTCGCTTGCTACAACACATAAAGGCAAAAGTTAGGCTCAGACTCCAGGTGCCAGATGCCCGGCTTACAACGCCCGCCCATCCCAGCGGGATGGCAGCTCACCAACGCGCTGTTACCGCCCTAAATCCCTATCAGACAGCAGGGACGGACAGCGGTCTGCACATCAGCAGCGGATGACACACTCCCACCGCCAACTCACCCCTCCTTCAGCCCGGCTCCAGGGGCGGCCGCGCACCCGCAACACCACCGAGGCACGGCGCTCAGCGAACCCTCCCACTGTTTTTACGGCGACGGGTCTCGGAAACACCGAAATGCTGAGTGTGGGGACCGCGGAGCCGCCGGTCGGAGCCTTCAGCCTCAGGACCACCCCCTCCCCGCGCCTGCCGAGCCGCCTCCCCGCGCCCCGGGCGCTGCGGAGCCGGTACCCCGTCTGGCACCGCGAGTCTCCGGGCAAGGCGGGCGGCTCGCCTCAGAGCGAGTCCCGGCCCTTTACCTGCCGGCGGCGGCTCCCGGAGCCCGGCCGAGCTGGGGCGAGCGGGCGGCTCTCGGAGGCTGCGCTGCGCTCCCGTCGCCGTACGCACCCCGTGCCCGGAGCCACGGAGCGCCCGAGCCGCCAGCGCAGCCGGCTCCACCTCCGGCCGTGCCCTGCTCTCCGCCCCCGGGCCGGCCCAGCCTCCTGGCCGCGCCCCGGCCCGCCCCGCTAGTGGCTGTCCCGCGCCCCGGTGCCCGGCCCGGAGAGAGCCGAGGGCGCCTCGATGTCCCGTGTTCGCAGAATCGAGTGAGGGATGGGAGGTTTGCGGACCTGGGACTTACGGAGCACTCCCGAAGTGCGCGCAGAGATATGCCGAGGGCACGTGAGAGTGGCACCGCGGCACCCCTGGCAAACCTTTCAAAAGCACACAGCAAGGCAAAGACTGCCCGTGTTTGTGACACAGGAAAGCAGCCTTTTTAAGCCTGATTTCCTAAGGAAGTCAGGCAGTGCTGTTGTGCTCTGTGTGCGTGCCAGCAACTTCCGAGTCTGGTGAGCAAATTCAATTCAGTGCAGCATCCACAGATTTGAGGAAAACAGATAACTGCCTGGGAGAGGTCATCCCTGGCTTTTGCACGCAGAAGGCCTATCCTGAGACCAACAGGGTCCAACACAGAATCCACAGGGCGATTCATAGGGGCCTTTACCAACCTAAGTGACTTGGAATCATAGAATCGTTGAGGTTGGAAAAGACCACTAAGATCACTCAGTCCAACTCCAGCACATCTCCACCATGCCCATTAACCACGTCCCTCAGTGCAATATCTACATGTTTGTTGGGTACCTCCATGGTATGTGACTCCACCACCTCCCTGGGCGGCCTGTTCCATGCCTCATTAATCCTTCTGAGAAGAAATTTTTCCTAATACTCACTCTGAACCTCCCCTGGTGCAACTTGAGGCCATTACCTCTTGTCCTACTTCTGTTACCAGGGCGAAGAGGCCAACACCTATCTCACTACAACATCCTTTCAGACAATTGTAGAGAGCAATGTGGTCTCTCCTGGGCCTCTTCTTCTCCAGACTAAATAATCCCAGTTCCCTTAGCTGCTCCTCAAAAGACTTGTAACCTGTCCTCGGGGGAAACAGCACTTCACGGGGTCACAGAAGTACTGACTGCATTGATGGGAAAGAAACCGAGAGAGGAAAAGGCATGTAGAAGGAACACCATTATTAATAATAACAATCAATACTTGGGAGCGAATTTGCTAAAGTGGTCACTGCACTCATGCACAGTAACAGAGCTAGTGCTAAAGGATTTGCAGTCCTGCAGGGCCACATCCTGTCAGGAAGCCCTTGTTCCAATGCTCTACAAGATGGGAATGTGGATCTGGGTCCTGCCAGCTTAGTAGAGAAACCAGACACAATGCCAGTTTCTAGCAGCGTAGTGCAAAGGCAAGAAGATCTCTTCATCAGCCTCTCTGTCTGATCATCTCTGCTAATGCCTCGCATATGGGATAATGAAGAGATACAGGACTCCCCAGGTGCAAATATTTGCTGGTGTTGGTTTTCATTTTTTTCTTTCCTAATGTAATAATAAAAACAAGGAGATATACACAGAATCTAACATTTACAGCCTCCAAATACATTTCTGTGTAATAGCAAAACTAGATTATACAACCAGATCATATTTGTAACATATGTTTTGCTACAGTCCATTGCTGCTTAAGACAGGCAATCACTTTAAGGTCTGATATTTTCTTATAACGTTTGAGCCATGTTTTCCACTGCCAGTTCACCATTCATTTATTTGTGTCACAGCATGAGTCTACCTCAACTCCGTCTTTGTGGCAGTGCAGGGGATTTACATGTCTTTATTAGGCACAGTGTGACATGAGGTAATAGCCTCATTCTTCTGATTCCTGTGCACAGGGCTCAGTGTGCAGCTTTCCAGGCTCGTCACTCCATGAGCACCTCAGGGCTCCTTTGGACAGAGATAACACCCACGACCAGCAGAGCTGTGAGACCCCCGTGCCAGGCAGTTCTGCTGTGTGCAATGAATAAGCTGGGAAAAGCCTCAATGCATGCGTCCTGCCCTGTGTCGTGGTCTCGTACACAGGTCTTGTGCTGAGGGTTCCTAGGGAAACAGGTAGCCTCGGCCCTACCCAAAACACTACAGTGTTAAACAGCTCCACTCTATAGACAAGGTCCCCTCCTCCTTGGGGGCCCCCTTACATTTTTCCAACAATCCCCTGTACTCCAGTGACATCATTATTCCAAAACTATTTTGGAAAAATGCACTGAGCAACGTATCCAAAGGCTTATATGTGTTTTCTGTTTTCCATCCTGATTCTATGAAACAGTTTTGTAAATGAACAGAAGTCAACTAGACGTGACCCCGGCTTTCCATCTTCCACATGCTCGCATCGACACAATAGCTCTCTTACATGCTCAACTGTGCAATTTAAGGGGCCATGGCTGAGAACAAGCTTCCCGAGACGAGCGTGCTCTCATCACCATGAAGGAGCTCCTTTGTGAATTCCGGCGGCACTGAGCTGGGTTTTGGATTTAAAGCCGGGGTTTACATTTGTCACTGCATGTAAGGGATATTGCATGTCCTCTGCAAACTGAACATGCAGCACCAACCTTGGATAAAACCGATTACATCTCCTGTATTTCTGATAGATACAAGTTTTCAGGCTGCTGTGTTGGGAAGCCATAAACAAAGTGGGGCTGAACACTCGCTGGTGTGACTACATGGATGTCGAAGGAGTTGAACTGAACTCCATGCAGCTAATCCGGCACTTGCAAACTCTTTCCTGCCTCTGCTTTATGCCTGCACCATTTCCTTTCTGCTTCCTTTCCTGTCCTCCCTACCTTCCCTCCCACTTCCACTGCCTGCAGACTGCTCCCTTTCTTTCCCTACTATTTTCTCTCAGCACTCCTCCTAATGTCTGGAATTGCCATAAAGCAGTGATTTGGCCACACCCGGCTTGGCTGGGGTCCCCAGGGCTGGCCTGCCCTCCACCAGTTCCATGCCCAGCCACATGAGCAGAGAGAGCTGCTGGCATCTGCCTGCTGAAACTCGAGTGTCAGTCTATTTCCAGATATCTGTGGCACATTCCAGGAGCGGTCTGTGCTCAGCAGAATTCGCATAGTATTATTAACTCTGCCACAAGACCAAATGGCACTTCTGAGAGCTCGAAGCAAACTCAATCTCAGCCACAGAGAGCAACAAATGGACTGTCTGAGGCCCAGCACCTGCTCCCAGATAAGGGCACCAAAGTTGGCAAGTACACTTTTCCAAATGTCAGGCACTTGTGTGCTGACTGAAGCTCCACTGATCAGGCTGCTGTCATCTGCCATCACACTGCATCCCAGGGCTCTCAGCCAGCCTGGGAGAGCAGCAGAAGCGGGCGGCCACTGTGCTGGTAGCAAGAGGTCTGAGCAAGCTTCAACATTACAGTTGTAATTAAAACCTTGCCAGAGTATTTTTCAACCCAGTTTTTCTTTCCCAGGCTCAGCTGGAAAAACTGAAGCTACAATGCCTATGACTTGGTTTCTTTGTCAATATCCACATTTCCCAACCTTCTTAAGCCAAGCAACAGCTAGCATTCTGGAGAAAGAAATATCAGGCCCTCAAGCAGCTTTGCACTGAATTTTTTCAAATGAAGAATTAAGTTGTTTTTTGAATATTCAGTAAGAGATTTATCTTTCCCCAATTTTGTTTTCATATTTGCTTGATCCCATTAACATTCACGTATGTTTTTCTGGAGGGAAAAGCATGCTGCAGCACAATTCTACATACAGCCTTCTTCTGTGTCAGATCCATGATGACTCACAGACCATAACATGGGACCCTGTATCCTAGGGCAATGAACACTCTCTTTCTGTGATGTTCCAGTCCATGAAGCTCCATGTGCACTGCCATACACAAATAGGTAGACATCACTTAGCTAACCATTTGTCTGCATACCCCCATCCTTCTTTGTAACTTTGAAGTTATAAGAAGAACTGGCACTGGTGCCTAAAGCCAAATCCCACAGAGCACTGAGTAAATGAACCTTTGGTCATTGTCCATAACATTCTGTATTAAGAGAATCCTTAATACTAATTTTAATATTCAGTTGAAGGGATACTTTTAAGGAAAACTGAATGTACTTAAGACTACAAACATTTCTACTGCTAACAACAGATAAAGCTCTATATTATTGAGCTGGAAAAAAAAAAAACCAACACACACAAAAATAGAAAATAGGATTTTGTTTTGTTTTGTTTTCTAAAAAAGAGCTTTTGCCCAAACCTATGATTTTCAACTGCACATCTTTTGAGAAAGTTCTCAACTTTCTTATTTCTTCTGAAACTTGCAGCTGATCATTTCCTGTACTTCTTGAACTTGACAAGTAAACGAAATTTGTTTCCCCACAACATTTTTAGCTGTTTTCACTCATTAAGGACTAGCCACATGGAAGACTCTGTTGTACCAGATGGTCCCTTTGCCCTGAAAAGACGACAGAGCAACTGCTATCCCTATATGCAAACAGGACACTGAGACACAAAGAATGAATGAATTACTGGAGGTCTGTGGCAGCTCCAGGACGTGAGCAAGGAGATCCTGGATCCCATACAAATGCCTTACTCATCCAAATATCTATCCCGAAATGTTTTGACTCTTCTTGGCATTTGCATTTCTCTTGTAACACTAAGGGAGGAGGCTCAAATGCACTTTTAGAAGTCCAGCTGACACTAAAATCTGAAGCTATTTTTGTTTTTATAAGATTTCACAAAGCACCTCTATCCTCCTTAAAAAAAAAAGGAAGCTAACAAACGTAACTTCAGGGTTTATTGTTCCAGGAGATGTTCCAATTAAATAACCCTTTGTTGGACAATTAGTGTTCTTCATGCTTTTTCTGACAAATTGAAGGGACATAGTTCACAGACATCTACAGAGGAAAGCAGTAACTGCCAAGGGGCAGATGGAAGTGTTGAAAGCTTCACTTCTGACAACAGCGAGATGGTCACCCTGCAATTTGTTTCAACACAGTCAGTTGTGTTGCTGTAACTTGTTAAACATCTGCTAAAAACATATGGAATCCTCC